ACTGTGAGTGAGTACCTCATAGTAATGTTTTTAAATACGGGCGTTAGCTTTAGTTCACTATCTTGGAACAGAAGGTTTTGGGTTCGTTTTTAGGTGGGGCACATACATTGAAAATTCATCTTAGTTAATTCATTTAAGACTTAAATCGACTGCACGAACAAGTGTAAGGAGAAAAGTAGTTAGTAAAGATTTCGTACTACAGTGGCCATATTTTGTAAATACGAGTAGCGATAACGTTAGACAAATTAATTTTCTGATAGGTTTTGGCAACTGACACATTTATTAATTTTAGTAATTTTTAACGCAAACTTTAAAGCCCAAAGCTAAAGATTGTGACACTTCATGGCCTATCAGTTTATTAAAGCTTAAAGTTATCTTTTAAGCCTTGAACTTTTTGAACAAAATACTAAAATGTTACTAGACATGTCACAACTTTAAGATTATTAGCAACGCAACAAACTAAGTTTAGGGTTCCGTAACCAAGGGTGCTAAACTGGACCCTATTTCTAAGACTGTCTATCAGTCCTTCTATCAATTATTGAGGCTTCCGGCGACTGGGACCGCAATTAACTGGGACCGCGGTCCCAGTCGCCGGATGCGTAAAAATTAAATAATTTTCTTCCGGCGACTGGGACCACTCATAGATAACTTTAAAGAAAATATTATTCAATCCAAAATCGGTACAGTACTAAAATCGATGAGTGGTCCCAGTCGCCGGAAGAAAATTATTTAATTTTTACGCATCCGGCGACTGGGACCGCGGTCCCAGTTAATTGCGGTCCCAGTCGCCGGAAGCCTCAATAATTGATAGAAGGACTGATAGACAGTCTTAGAAATAGGGTCCAGTTTANGGTCCCAGTCGCCGGATGCGTAAAAATTAAATAATTTTCTTCCGGCGACTGGGACCACTCATAGATAACTTAGAAAAATATATTATTCAGGCCAAAATCGGTACAGTCATATGAAAAAAAAATCTAAATTATTTATATGAATATCATTGACTCGTCCTAGACATGATTTTATACTATGCGCTTAGTAATAAGTAGATTAAGCTAGGCCATTTTTACATAATTCACACGTCGTGCAGGTAAGCACAAAGGGAATTATATGATTGTACTATCGCTCTCTAACTCGAGTTCGCTTTGCCTGTCGATTTGAGGCTTTGGTCATCTCATAAATCTTGATCTTATACCGCGGTATGAGTTGACCTAATGCAATTTTTGAATTGGACATCTCATCCCGTTGATGTATTTTACGTCTTGTACAGACATGAAACAAATACTAATATTGGACTGAATACTTTAAAGCATTTTCTACCAGTAAATTATTATTTACTGAATTTCATATGTAGTAAACATTGTTAATGCTTATTATATTTCCCCTTAGAATCTACTATAAATCCACTATAAATCTACTAAAAGTACTATAAATTAAACGACAGATTTTTTTTAATGAAATCGGTATATAAATGGTGTTTTTAAATTAAAAAGGATTTTTCTTCAATTATTACCTACACCTAATAATTTTAGTTTGACTGTACATTTTTTGATTTCAGTTATCATTTACGAGTGGTCCCAGTTGCCGGAAGAAAATTATTTATTTTTTACGGATCCGGCGACTGGGACCGCGGTCCCAGTTAATTGCGGTCCCAGTCGCCGGAAGCCTCCAATTATTTCAATGAATTCGTGTAGTAGGTACATTCGCTCCAATTCTTATTGAAGTGAACTGAACTACTCAATTTTTTTAAAATAGTAATGTCCAACTCATTCTAATATTATGTTAATATGTGTGTCTAATTTATAGCGACACAGGCTTGTTGCCTGTAAATTACGACAAGTCTATTAAGATAGAAAATGAAAATTGTATTTTATTAAAGCCTCAGGCTGTGCGGCGAATAGCTACGACACCTGGCGTGTTTATTTTATCTATTAACAAAACAATACAAAAATTGTAATTAAATACTGAGGTCAGTATCAATAGCCTACCCTCTTTTTGCAGCTGGGATTTTTTATGTGATCAACAGTGTCTCTAGGTTTTCTCTGAGTAAGTAGGTACACTAAATCAAATGCTATGGAAAATCGAATGTAGAAAGAGACGCTTTCTTTTTGACTCTTCACCTGTACCCGGAGCACGAATATTGTTCTCATTTATGGAAGGTAAGTAGGTAATAGTTTTTTTGTATGAAAAGGGAAACTAAACAGCGTCGCTTTGGTTGTATGGAATTTCAGGAGTTATTCATGCTCAGGGTATTGGCGTCGCCTTTTAGTGTCGTTTCAGAAGACCCGAAATCTGAAACGACACTCAAGCATTCATTTAAGAATGGATTCAATCGTGTGTACCAACCCTATGCCTTAGTTTTAACCGTGTTCATAATACAGACCTCTAGCAGAGTGCAAACCTCAGATATTTTCTCGGCCAGGATCAACAGAACCCAAATATTTTGAAATAACCGTCTCCCAGTCCGTTTCGTTACCAAAGCAACTCTAATAACAACTATATGAGCGAACAAAGCCTCATTATGGGGCCGGCCCGAGGCCACGTATAAATAACCCGACATCCCCCGACTTATTTCTGTTTGTTAATTCCTTTAATTACTCTCCGGCGCTCCGAAACCGTCAATTATGCTTTGAAAAATAAACAAACAAATGCCACAATACCAGTTCTAACTACTTATTCTTAATTACTTATAACTAAGACGTAACTCAACCGCTGAAAGTAGGTATTTAGTGGACTTATCTTTTAACTAAGGACGTTGATGAATTGCTGCGTGAAACGGAACGTTAGTTTTTTTTAATGGCCGCCGGCTTGGAGCTCCGCTGTTCGGCCAAAGCATGTAATTAGCTGTTATAAAAAGTTTAGGTAATTAATTGTACTGCACTGTACGCCCAAGTGATGGTTTGTGTTAAATTGATATTTATTGTTGACATTTCGTGCCGTGAGCGCGTCTCGTAATAATTGTAGTTAATTTTTATTCATTGTACTTTATTTTCAAAAGTGGGTAAAGGAATTTTTGTTGCAATTAAAATGATTCGAATCTATGTCTGGCTGTAGCGAGCTTGTGGTGTAGATAACTCGAATTAATTGATGTAGGTATTTTTTAATTAATTGGAAAGCGTAGTAAAAGTTTCAGGATAATTGTTTTAAGCGGTTGTAAATCGAGGCTTAATCAATTATTCAGTGATCGATTTATGACGTAAGACTAGAACGAAGTTTGATTTACGAGTTCAAAAATGTTATCCCATAATAATTATCTACCAAGGTTATTTATAGGGTTACGCTTAATGCGCCCATGCCTTACCTACATCTGATCCGAATCCTGTCTGAATTTGTATTATCCGAAAATTTTTAGCTTTTCCCCCCGAACCCACATCTTTTCAGTGTCAGGAAATGTCTCTATTTAAAAAAACTCTATTTGAGATTAGACTCAAACGAGTTCACTGCTCAATATAGCTATTAAACTTACGCTAGTTTGTCGCCTTTATCATATACAGGGTGATCAAACAAAGAGGATTGACTACACTCCTCAAATGCAAAAACTTTTCCAAGAGACGGAGTTCAAATCTCCTAAAAAAAGTAGTAGTGCACTCTTTTTTTAAATGTAAGTACCTAATTAGAACTTAAAAAGAAACACTGGCTAAAAGATTAAATTAAATCACGCAAATCAGAAAAAATATTTATGATTGTACGCATCGCGATTATACAGTCTCCATACCGATAAATCACCTAATAACATAAGTTTACGCGTGGCTGAACCACGAAGTGGTGCGTTTAAAATTTAAGCCACATTAATTACAACAAAAGGCAATCAGAACGACTAAAGCCGTTGTTATAAGCTTATTTGTTTGAATTGCTAATTAATGCGCGCGCGATGGCCGCCACTCACGCTATGCTCACAATAAATGACCTAAGGGCTGGTCGACACAATATTTTTGGCAACTGAAATTTTTGGGCATTACTAATTTTACCATCTTCCCCCGACAGACTTAATTGAAAGACTGAATGGAAATGAATTTTGTGAAAATGAAACGAAAATTCTTACTTTTCCACAAATTTCCTCCATTCGGGTGAAAATGGGAAAGAATATCCCAATTTTTTATTAAGCCACAAACGTCCAACCACAGATAATTACTTCGTTTCAGCCAAATGACGTCCACTGCTGGACAAAGGCCTTCCCCAAGCATTTCCATAACTACCGGTCCTGCGATGCCCGCATCCAGGTTCTTCCTGCGACCTTCACCAGATCGTCGGTCCACCTAGTGGAAGGCCTGCCCACGCTACGTCTTCAATACAATAGAAAAAAATGAATTTCCAAAACTAAGAGGAAACACGATACACAAATTCGTTAGTCGATACAAAAGTATTAAGTCTACTACGGTCCTAATTAATTATTGGACTCTTATAAGATAGTAATTGGTTATTGTTTCTTTGTCTCCACACTGATGCTATAATAGCCGCAATAATTAGTGAGCAGTGGGTGGGTGGCCTTATGTGATCAATTAAAGACAATAGATTTGTTAATTATTAGGTAAGCATTAATAGACTATAGTGTTCACAAACACTACTTATTTTAGGACAAATTTCATGAAACGCAACATGACTATGTATTTTTTTATAAGTAACTTTAAATATCTGCTCTGAAAGATAATAAATTAGATTCATGTTCTTCTTTCTTGTAACTAGTGCAATATTGTGTACCAGCCCTGCTCGAGACCATGTGCTTTTTACTTAATAAGAGCCATCTGTTATTTGTATCGAGAACTAAAAGCATGTGAATGTCTCAAGCTTTTTTTTTTATAAAGTTTCAATTATTTTTCTTCTGTGACTGAAACATTTATTATTTATTTTGTAATTTTAATTGTTTACGAAGATTCAAACTTCTCGCAATTTTAAGGGATATTAATTATTTTATTGATTACCAAAGATAAATCGGTTTTTAGAACGAAACGCTAAATGAATGAATGTGTGTGTGTTGTCATTTTTTGTCAACTTGTCAAAACTTCGTTCGCCATAAAAAATTGATATTTTCATTATTTTACATTAAATAAAATATTAATATTAGGTTTAAAATACCATTAATATAACTAATTAAGAACAAAAATGAAAGCATGTCGATTTTGCCTTCAAACCGATGGAATATTATGCGAATTACAAAACTCGGACGCTCAAAATTTTATTGAAGAAATATTTAAACAAAATGGATATCAAGTGAGTCCTCAAACAAAAGGAAAACAACTTGGCATTATGTTTTGAAGATTGCTTATTTAGTTTCCTTTTTCTAATGTTAGTTGAGTATTTTTTTGTTTTTATTTATTAATATATTTTTCTATTTCAGGGCTTCATTTCAAGTAACTACGTATGTTGTATGTGCAAGTTTCTATTGAATAAAAGTTACAAATTCGTAAAAAAAGCACTGAGAGCTCAACAAATACTAAAAGATATATTGGAGAATAATAATGATGTAAGTTATTTACTATTAAAAATTAACATTTACTACTATTACTAATACAAAAAGTGAGCTTATTATTATGAAGATAGTACTACCTACCTACATACTCTTAGACATAAAACAGGGTACAGTTAGATTACAAAAAGTACAGTGACCAATACCTCCACGCACCTACAAAATCAATGATACTAATTTTAAAAGTGATAGTGAGCTATTCACAATACTAAGAAGGTATGTAACCTTAGACTGCAATAATACTTATTAAAAACAACAAGGGAAATAGAGTTAAGAATAAAATAAAATGTAACTGTTGAATAATCAATTCTGCTTAACCTGTATGCTCAGAGGTACAAAAACCACCCAATGGTTCATACCTATTCTCTTGTGATGCAAATAAAAAAATCTGTAAATATGCCAAATTACATAAAAATCTGAGACCTAGTAATTAATAAATTAATAGTTCTGGGCATTATATGTATTAAATGGATATGTAATAGACATTTATGAGATGTTTTCTTATTTCCAGATTACAAATGCATCCCTAAAAAAGATAAACAGACACAAATTAGAGCTAGACGAAAACCTTGTCTGTCAAGAAAATTCCGTAAACTATTGCTTTTGGGAAGAGAACGATGGTAAAGCCAAAACTAACTTCAGCGTAGAGGCAATGGAGAATGTGTGCATTACGAAAAAGGAAGACGTATACGGCAGTGAAACGTTCTTAACACCCATAGATTATTATCCAGAAGCTGTGTACGGAAGTGAAAATGAACAAGTCCATGATTTCGGACTTATCAAACAAGAAAACGTACACAAAATAGAAATTAAAATAGACGTCCAAAATATACAAAGTGAGAATCTTGATAATGACGACGATACAAAAGTCAAAATAGATACAGATGATTACGATGAAAAACCCTCATTTAATAACAGTGACGATGATTCTGATGATAAAGAAATTCTACGAGACGTTCTTACTAGAAAATGTAAAAAGGAAGTTCCTGCTACAAAAAACAAAAAGAGAAAACCTGCAAAACCTAAGCAAAAGAGAATCAAGAAAGAAAAACGCGATTATAGGAAATACCCCATGAAATGTGATGATGTAAGTAAAAAGCTATGTTAATTATATTTTCGAGCTAGAGTTTTACGAAAAAAACTTTTTTCTGACCCAAAAAAAAACATAGATTTTGCTGTCACTTGCAGGGTCAAGTTTTTCAAGGTCAACTTTTACTTACAAATCAATTAGAATCTAACTAGAATAAAATTATGTAAGTTTGTAGGGATGGCTGTTATTTTTTTATGTAAATGATCCTGAACCTGGACAGATTTTGATATAAATTTACAACAATATTATTGTTTATTTGTTGGAATTACATAATTGAGAGGTGTCAAACCATAATTTTATATGTGCCAGAAAATTTGATTTTTAAGAGACACGAAAACTTCTTTTTTTTTTTCAATTAAAAATATTTTGTCTCTTCTGAGTCCTAATTTTCTGGGACTTATAATGTTATGGTTTGGCACCCCTCAATTTAAATTGCCTCTAAATCATTGGTCCCCCAGGGGAGGCGCAAAGACCTTTAACGGGGGGCGCGGGCTATCTGTGTATTTAACTAAAAAAACCTACGACCGCTGAGATAATGCATTCCAGACTGCTCGATACGACCAATAATAATCTTGACTGGAGGAGGGGGGGCGCAGAATTTATTGTATGGTCGAAAGGGGGCGCGTCTCAAATAAGTTTGGGAACCAATGCTCTAAATGTTTATTACAAAGAATTTCTTTATTTGTAATAGGTATATAAACAGTTTACAGTCTAGGCTTCATCGTAAAGAAAGTGTTAATAAATTACATAGGATTTGTATATAGCATCCTCTTTTGTAATGTTTCCAGTGTGATCACATGGTGCAGTCCAAGATGGAGCACTTCCACCATTACCTGGCGTTCCACAAGGACCGCCAGTACCCGTACCGGCGGGAAGGCACCTACATGTGCCAGCACTGCGGTATTGTTAAGACGGTAAGGTTCGAAGGGGTTCGAAATTATCAAGATAATTACGCTTCGTGATAATTATCAGATAATTATCAACAGTATAAGATACATTTGTCATATTGTTTCATAAGAAATTCTGATGTTACATTGAGAATGTTTCTTTATGTTTTTGGTTACTGATTGTTGTCAAGTTATCCATCGCTAGTTGCATAAAGCGTTGTGGAAAATAGATTAATATTTTTAAGCTAGTTAACGAGTGATCGTTGTGGAGCTAAATAGATAGGTTTTAGAACTATCTATGTAAAATAACGTCCACCACTAGACGCAAGTGCGGAAATACACGTTAGAAAACTTCGAATACAGTTCACTTTCATGAGCGCAGTTTTTTGTTATTATCAACCGATAATTATCCTTTCGAACCCTGGGTAAGGTTCAAAGTTGTTTGCATACATGTGGTGAAGGTTTATAAACATTTCAGTAGTCAATGGGGCAAATTNTGATCTAAATTGCCTGAAATACTTTTTATTACAGAGCCTAATCCGTCAATAAGACCTCGCTTAGTTCTGCTAGGTTCTAAACTGTGTAACTGATCTAAAACCTTATTTATCTTATTATTTAAGTAACTAATTTGGAGTTCATATAAAACATAAGTATCATTAGGAAGTCGTGTCTCATATGTTTGTATTTGAGACTGAACTTCTGAGATTTTATCTTCTATATCATTTAACTGAACGCGTTGTAAGAAAGTATGATAGTGTGTGGTGAGTCTAGTTAGTCCTAGTTTAAATGGTAAAAGTCCAGGGCCGTCGTCTAGACTCTCAAGTCTTATCTCCTGAGACGTCGTCATCGGGATGAGTATCAGCAGAATCCTGGAACAATTTAGCATGCTTGGGAATACGTTTCAGTCTGGACTTTGCTACGGGTCCACGCTTTTTGGAGGTGTAAATGTGAATAGGTAAGTCTGCTAGTACTTTGTCCTGGGTATACCTAGGGGCTACTTTCTGTCTACTGGCCATGGGGTTTTTAATAAATATCTGTTGTTCTGGAGTGTACTCTATTTCAGGTTCTCGGGACTTGTTCCTGTTTTCTATCAAGGCAGTTCTATTTTCTAGGGACTTATCATTGATCAAATCGTATACAGTTTTCATTTGCTCCTTATGATTATTCATATACTGTTGTAGCAAATGTGGGACAGGGTCTATTTCAATGGGATCTCTAGGATCATAATGTCCTGTTATCAGATCGAAAGGTTTGCACTTATTGAAACTATGTATAGAACTGTTATAGGCTATAATTGCATAAGGCATTAAGTTTATTATAGGTTCATCTTTATTTCGTAATTTTAATATACGAAGGTGCTCGAGTAAAGTCGAATGAAAACGCTCTATGTTTCCGTTATCATTCGGTGCATGAGCTAGTGTCTTATGGTGATTTATTTTATGAACGCGTACAAACTCTGCAAATAACTGGTTAGTGAACTCAGTTCCGTTGTCTGTAACAATAGTGAACGGAAGACCGTGGTGAGTTGAAAACTGTAACAAGGCTTGAATGATGCTGACTGCTGTACCATCTCGTAGATGATATGCTTGGCCGTACTTAGAGAAAACGTCTATAAATGTTAAGTACTTTTCGTTCTGAGCTGTAAATAAGTCTAAGTGAATAGTTTCGAAAGGTTTTGTTGCTGGGGGTACTACGTTAAACTGCTGTCGAATTGGGTTTCTATCATATTTCGCTTGTCCACATATAGTACATTCACCTATAAATTTAGCAATGTTCTCTTTCATTTTAGGCCAGAAGTATCGTTTAGAAAGGGCTAGGTAGCACTCGGTAATACCTCGATGGTTTGTTTTACCGTCGTGGTAGTTGCGAATTATTTCTTGTTGTCTGAGATATTCTTTAACATTTTCTATTTCAGATTTGGCGAGAACGAGATTCATAGATGAACTCTTAAATTTATCTTGTATGATCGGAATAACTGAGTACATAGCAAGAGTTGGATTTATTAGTAATGCAGTTTTAACCTTGGGATGTACGTATTCTTTAATTGCGTTAATAATGTCGGACTCTAAGTTAGATTCGCTAACTTGCAACGAAATACGAGTGTGAGTGTCAAATGGCTTTGTTACTACGGGCCGTCGTTTGACGTCACCTACAATAGTGATGTGCAACTGTCGATGAAATCTATTTATAGGTTCATCGGTAATTGGGACTTCGAGAATTGGGTGTTCATGGCTAGTGTGTGCGGTCATAGTGTCTGAGTTAGAGACGGATGCTGGCTTCTCAGAGGGATTTGCGGCTAGTGAACTAATCTCCTCATTATTAATCTCGATCCTAGATAGAGCGTCGGCGTTCGTGTTATTTTTGCCTTTTTTATAGATTACTGTGAAGTCATACTCGCTTAACTTCAGCCTCCATCTAGTTAATCTCGAGTTCGGCTCTTTTAGGTTCATCATCCATTGAAGAGGGCGATGATCGGTTAATATCTTAAACTTTCGTCCAAAAAGGTAAGGTCGAAAGTACTTTGTAGCCCATACAATGGCTAAAAGTTCTTTCTCAATGGTACTGTAATTACACTCGCTATCATTAAGAGTACGAGATGCAAATGAGATGGGTTTGTCTGCGCCTATAGTCCCTTGAGATAAAATTGCACCGATGGCTACGTTAGAAGCGTCTGTTGTCAAGATAAATTCACGAGTAAAGTCGGGGTATTGTAATATAGGGTCGTTGGTCAAAAGTTTTTTACACTTTTCAAATGCTTGTACGTATTCAGTGTCGAATGTAATTTTATTGCCTTTCTTTAAACATTGAGTTAAGGGCTTTGTGATACGGGCAAAGTCGGGAATGAACTTACGATAGTAGCCAATTAGACCTAGAAATTGTTTGATCTGTTTAGGGGTTTCAGGGATAGGATATTTCTCAATAGCAGAGATTTTGTCTGGATTTGGCTTAATGCCATCACGGGTGATGATGTGACCAAGATAACTTGTTTCTAACTTAAGGAATTCGGATTTATCCATCTGGATTTTGAAGTTGGATTCCCGTAGGCGTTGGAGGACCTTTTCAAGGTTATTTATCGACTCCTGGAGAGAACTACCAAAGACGACTATGTCATCCAGGTAAACTAGACAAATCTCGTTTTGCAGCCCTTTGAGGACGTTGTCCATCACTCTTTGGAATGTAGAAGGTGAGTTCTTAAGACCCATGGGCATACGCAAGAATTCATAATGCCCATGCTCTACATTGAAGGCTGTTTTCGGTATATCAGCTTCACTCATCTCAACCTGGTAGAACCCAGATGCCAGGTCTAACGTGGTGAAGTACATGCATTTGCCAAGCTTGTCAAGGACGTCAGTTATATTCGGGATGGGGTATTTGTCATCGATAGTCTTGTCATTGAGTTTGCGGAAGTCTACTACTATACGCCACTTCTTTTTTCCAGATGCATCCTGTTTTTTCGGAACAACCCAGATGGGCGAGCTCCAGGCGGATGTGGAAGGTCTAATTATTCCCTGCTCTAACATTTTATTAATTTGATCTCTAACCTCTTGTCGATGTACAAATGGATAGCGATAACTTTTAGTATAGATCGGAACATCGTCTGTAGTTTTTATGCAGTGCTTTATTTGGTTAGTAAATGTGAGCGGTTCGCCTTCTAAATAAAATACGTCGGCGTAACGCGAGCACAAAGACTCTATATTAGCCTTTTCCTCGGGATTCATATGATCCGTCCTAAGGCGCGATAAGACATCGCGTGCGCGCGTCGTGTTCGCTGGCGCGGTGCGCGTGCACTCGATATTAAAGACTTGCGCTTGCGCTGGGTGGTCTAGCGAAAATATAATATCATTATTTGTTAAGTTACTGACTTCTAATATTCCGCGGCTATTTTTAACAGTTGTAAGGCATTCTGAAATTAGACAATTACAGATCATTTGCTCTTCGACAAGTACGTCGCCGTCCGGGGCGTTAATTGGGATTCTGATCATCTTAGATGTGCCTGCTGGGATAATATCTTCATAGAGATTGACATTACGAGAATTATACATCTTAATAGGATTAACTGCAAACTGAGTTGAGAGGGTTTGATCTTTGAGATCGATTTTTGCTTCCCATTTCGTAAGTAAGTCTAGGCCTATCAGACCGTCGAAATAATCATGAAAGCGGTACACAAAAAACTTCATCTCATTCTGATTATTAAATTCAGGGAAACACGGAAGTGTTATAGAATAATCATTGCGGCTGGTAGCGTGCACATTTGTGACTTCAAATGGGTCGAAGTCTAAAGGAAAGTTATAAAAATATTTCTCAACACATTCAGGACTGATGAATGATTGATTTGCGCCTGTGTCTATTAACAACTTAATTGGCGGGTTATTAATCTGAATATAAGGAAGTTGGCGTTGCGTTTGCATATTCAACTCTATTTTAACTTGTCTAACGTTGGATCTATCTGAAAATCCTGCTCTGTGGAACTAGATGCCTGCGGCTCGTTACCTGACTCTACTATCGGGCTATTGTCCGTGGGCTCATAATATTGAACTCTATTGTCATAGTTATAAGTCGCATCGTAGTTATAATAGTCAGTTAAGTCATTGTAATACTCGGGTTCGCAATAATAGTCTGTGTAGTATGAATCATACATTGAGGGATCACATTCATTTAGATTTACTTCGCGAGATTTTAAATAATTAGTTGGCGGGGGATTTCCGAATCTTCGCCAGTCGTGTCCAGATAAAGTTGGGGGTAAGGTCTTAGGGACAAAATGTTGCACTCCGCTCATAGGTCTTGGAGCTGGATGCTGTTGAAGCTGAGGATGCTGCCTGGGTGGCAATCGAAACATATTACTCTGAGGGTTATACCTCGGGGGTGGTGCACTGAACATCTGTTGTGTTCGAGAAATGCGCGGTTGGGACTGTACATTTGGTACCGGGTTAAATTTAAAAGGTTGCGGTTGCATCGCTGAGCGTAGCGGAGGCGGCGGCGGAATAAATCGCTGCGGCGCCTGGTTTGTGAAAATAGGAACACTATTATAGTTATAAGGTTTAGGCATTGAAAAACCTGTAGGTAAGGAAGGTGGTGTGCGTTGAGCTATCAAATGTCTCGGGATACTGTCATTACGTTGTTGAAGATACTGTATGTTAAGTTCCTCCTGTACGTACTCCAGAGCTTTCTCTATGCTATCCGGCCTCATGCACCTTATACGAGATCCTAGAGGTTCCTTTAAACCTCGCACAAAGGCTTGAAGGGTCAGCTTTTTATAGAGCGCCCTTTTGGCTTCTATTGTAGTGCTAATAGATTCGTGCAATGTGACATAGGTCATTATTGTACTAAACAGGGTCTGACAATTATCATAGAACTCCTGAGGGCTACTGTTCCCTTGCGTCGCTAAGGAGAGGTCATTATATAGCGCGGTTTCGTCCCTTTGATCACTAAAATTATTTTTAAGGACGTTTCTAATTCCTGCCCAGCATTCGGGAATTCCATTTGAGTTAATAATAGTGGCGGCAGGGCCTGTTATTTTATTCAGGATGCCGTTTAGGACACATAAATTA